CCGTCTCTCCATGGTAAATTGCAAACAAAGTACAGGTCGCATTTATGATCCGAATTGGATGAAATTTGGCACAGGTCACTTATTTAGCCCAAGGACAACAATTGAAATTGGGAAAATCGGTTCAGATTTAGATATAGCTCCCATATATATTTTCGTCCGATTTAATGTAAATGGTGCACCAAAGTCGCTATATATATCTATATATATCTTTTGATTTGCACGAAATTTGGCATATCGTAACGAATTAGATCTAGAATGATGTGTCTTAAGTTTCCTGAAAATCGGTCCAGATTTAGATATAGCTCCGATATCTAAATCTCCGATTTAATCTCCGATTTTGTAAATGGTGTTACAAAGTCAATATATATCTTTCGATTTCCACGAAATTTGGCATACCGTAATGAATTAGGCTTATAATGGTGTGTGCTAAGTTTCCTGAAAATCGATTCAGATTTATATATTTTCATCTGGTTTAAGGTAAATGGCATACCAAAGTCAATATGTATCTTTCGATTTTATATAGCTTCTACATACATATTTTCGTCTGATTTTACACAAACCTAGAAGTTGGATATAAATGCTGCACCAAGGTGGGTCCGATTGCCACAAAATTTTGCACAACGTAATGAAGTTACTACAACTTAACGTGTGAAAAGTGTTGCTGAAATCGGTTTAGATTTAGATATAGCTCCTATATATAGTTTCGTCCGATTCTAAGTAAAGGGTGCACAAAAAACCAAAAGTTAGGCCGTCTGCTACAAAATTTTGCACAATGTACTGAAATTAGTATAGCCTACCGTGTGCCAAGTTTTGTAGGAATCCATTTTTATGTTAATGGTCCTTCAAAAATGCAAGGATTCATCTGTTGAATATACCCAAAGTGGTGAAGTGTATCATATAGTCGACCCCGTCCGAGTTTACTACTTGCATATTTCTATTGAATTGGAGCAGTATTTCTCAACAAAAAATCTTAACCCATTGGTTGGTAATATCAGTAATTTTTGATTGCTAGTTTATTTATGATAGACAAAGGGGTTAATCACGTTTAGTTGTGTTTATAATATATATATATATATATATATATATTTTAGGGCGGATCAATTTGTATTGTGCCGAAAACTTCGATTAAGGGAGTTTGAGAAGCCCTCTTGCCGTCACTTGATGCTAGCACAATAAATCGGCTATATCTTCAATAATTAGATGATTCTATGGACAATTCTAAGCAAATTTGGTGACGGAACCATGGGTCTCTCTCGATTTTCGAGTCTCCCACTTTTCAAAAAATAATTTTTTCCCTATACATCATTTTGATTCAAAGTTCGTTTTTTTATCAATTTCAGGCAACTTTGTTGAAAGAACCTTGGGTCTATCTCGATTTTCAAGTCTCCCACATTTCAAAAAATGATTTTTCACTATAACATCATTTTGATTCCAAATTAGATTTTTTATAAATTTTACCGAAAAACTTGTAATTCTTCTAAGAAAATATATGAAAAATAGTTAAAATATGGGCTGGAATTAATCGACACAAAATTTGGTCTATCATGTATATATGAATGCCATTCAAGTCAATGTTTTTGACGGATTATTTCTGATATTGCCACATAAATTAACTCATCGAACCAATTCAATGGAAATCAATGTATTCGATTAATAGTGACATATTAGCTAACCATCTGTACGAGTTTCCGATTCTGTTTCTTCTTCCCCATGGCGACATTTGGAAATTACAGATGGGGGTTTCTATTTCATCTTCTCCCATTGCCAAACCGAAATAATTTTCTTCCATAACTCTTTCTCCATCTCTCATATCGATCAGGTGATTGATATGGCCCGATCATCACCTAAACAGCCGTTCTAAGTGTTTAGTCAGATCCCCTTCACCATGTAAAATATGTGAAGTTCTGCATATAATAATGACCTCTAGAGCTACTAGAAAATCTGACAAAAATAAAGTTTTCAGTTCATTGCACCCCCTAAATATCATCTCAACATCACCGAAAATTATAGGCGTCGTCCTTGACCAATACCGTAACTTCGTATGAAATTTCAAGGCGATCCGCGCGAAATTTCCTTTCCTTGGCTATACAAAATTAGCGTAAAGTTTTTAACAAACTTTTTTTGATGTTGCACATGTGATTATGCTTGAATGCACCAGTTTCCGATGAAAACCAAAATATTTTGTTAAATTAATGGTATGTAATGCTACAAAAGACTTTAATCAATTTAATTGTGTCGTTTATTTTATAACCGAACATAATATTTTGCCAGTACCAAGAAATTATTTACCTAACATCGTTAATGAATTTTGTTTTATTAATTAAAATCATTACACAGAAACAACATTGCATGACATGAAACTCTTTATCTCCATTCATTATCAACGTTGTTATGAAATTTAATATTTCACATCTCTCGCTATAAAATAATCAAGATGCTACCGCAAAAGAATATTTTTTGGAATTTTTCATAAAGCTACAATAATTATCCATACTTGAGCGTAGGAAAAACTCGGTAAACATGTTCGCTTTACGTTTAATTAATGAAAATGTATCTTTATATTATTTGGATTAAATGGAAAATCCCTTGTCGATATTTTGTTTGGATATACAACACATCTATTGTGGTATCGATTTTATTTCATTAGTCATTACTTTTTCCTCAGAAATTTAAATATATGTATATTCTATAGATTTCAATCATGAAATTAACTTACCCTGGTATGCCGCCACTCTCCATGTGATTTGCTAATGTCACATCATTCGACCACACATCAAATTGCCATTTCACCAAACCCAAAACGCCACAATGTACACGTCCGGTGTGGATGCCCACACGCATGTTAACATTGACCGCCATCACTTCACGCACCAATCTGCAAGTATAAACACATGTTCAGCAAATATGATTGTACGAACCCGCTGCACTCACACACCAACAAATAAACAAGCTAATTATACATCATTTTACAGAGAGTTTATTTGTATATAGTATGTGCGTACCTCTGTACATATTGACATTGTTGATTTTATCGCACTCGAATATTTTCAAGTTTCCCATTTGAAATGCATGTGTTTGCCAATAAGGTGTATAGTATGTGACCTTTTTGCTATATAATGTTAAAACAAGTAAATAATGTCTACGTTCAAAATACCTAAAATCGATCGGCATATTTATATGGAGGCAATGAAATGGTAAAACAAAATACCAACCTTGAACAATTTTTGAAATCCTCAAAATACGGAATAGTGGTTTCCGATATATGGGGCTATACCAAAACGGCGATAATTTGACAACCAATGAGAATCCAAAATATATACTACAATCAATTGGGTTGAAAAAAGGCATTCAAATTCCCAAACATTCCGAAATTCGCGAGGTACCGTTATAGGGATGCGACTTAAAAAATGTGATCTGTATCGGTAGTTTTTTAGGCGGAATTACTAACCAATTAGAAACCCAAATACAAAAGTACAACTAATTCGGTTGAAAAATTTGTCCAAAATCACAAAAATATAGAATAAAGGAGCATGCCGTTAGATAGGGGTTACCCCGAAGCTTAGGTCAACATTTGGTAGGGATATTTGCTGTATAAAAAACCAAATTGCAGATAATTCGATTGAAAAGCCTACTCAACCTCCGCCTTGGAGAATGTGTGGTGAATATGTTGTGCTTTCAACAAAACGGCCCCACATGCCACACAACTCGAGCGAATATGGGTAAAAAGCCAATTACAGGTGGAGAGGAACGAACGTTACATATTTCACATCTTGAGACCTGGAGCTTTACACCAATAACATTTTATGTCATTGTGGTTCGGGGTTAACAAATGACATTAGGTCAAAGTTAAATTTTCATAATTTTGTGAATATAATTTAAATGAAAAATTTTATTGTCGTAAAAGTCGTCAATATCCGTTTTTGGGAATAAACATTTAATTTTTCAATTTTAAAGTGACGGTCAAAAGTTCCCCTGGTGATCATACAATAAACTTATCTACAATTACAGTGTTGAAAACTCCTGACATCAATAGTCTACACTAAAAATTATTACTTCGATGACAATTTAATAAGCGGGCATCGGTATAAAAGGAGGCGGTTTGGTGACAATTTTCTGTAGATTGCCGTGGAGCCAAGTGGAGTTAAAAAACCAGTGAGCGGAGCAGTGTAGTCGGACAGGACCGACTATACGATACCCTACACATCTACCAGGGAACTCTAACTTTCTGCGGATGTTTATTTCGAGCATGGGCAATATTTTGTGATATTTGCACCCTTTTGACCGATTAGAGATCAATAGCACCTGTTTCTTACACTGACATATTTTCTGAATATTCAAAATATTAAGTAACGTCCATCTAATTACTTGTCCAGATTCCCTTCGCCGTGGTTTTGTTGTTATGTTCGGCTTGTGGCATATAGATCGACTCGATCGACCTGAAAACGACAAAATATGAAGGTCCATTTCATCCCAAAATATTAACCCATCTTAACCCAAAACAACAAATTTCGTAAGGATTGGTCCATAACTGTGGCCTCTATCACGTTTACAAATTATAATGGGCAGACGGACGGACGGACACACATGTCTAAATCAAGATATGAATATCGGTCTAGGACCAATATTTCTGGCGTTACAAACTACAAACATAGTTGTGTAAGGTATAACGAGGCCGTGGCTGGGGAAATAGTTGGTTGTAGTCGCTGTTTTTTAATCTAGTAATCGACAGCGTAATCATTATTTTTGATTACGGCTGTACATCTACGAGGCGTTGAATCTATACGACACTCTATTTGATCCTGGGATATACTATTCCTCTCATCCTGATTCTTTTGGAAAAGGTCATGTTCGTTAGTTTGATTTTGCTATCTATAACACATTCTCTGGGTAATTTTTTCTTGTCTGAGCCTTCATTCGAGAACATAATATTTCTCCACTGATTCGGAATCCAATGAATATGAGCTTTTTCAAAAGCCAAAGTTGGCTTTCCTATTTTTCAGAAATAAAAACCTACGATCGCGCCATCCACCATAGCAATGACGAAAACATTGACATTTATCGGCAACTTATATGCTACAATATAATTTTCATTCACGTTGTTACACCGCAAACATATGTATTTCAGTTTCATTCACTGGGAAGGGCTTGCCATTGTATATGCTTGCTATTTTGTATTGTGGATGTTTACTGCATTCACAATTATTTTTGGTGGCTACCCATCGTGGTTGCTATATAAATACATACACACAGAGTCTTCATCGAAAACGTCGATAAAATCGGAGAAATGATCGAAGTTTGTTGGCGATTTAGCAGTCGTAACATAGTGGAAGTGATGCAAATGTGGTATAGGTTGGTAATGTGGTATAGTCACTTTTTTTGTAAACTGAAAATTTTAGAATAACTGAAACATGTTCTATAGTTTGCTGTTCTCAAAAAAATAAGATAGCAATGACCTGTTTAATTTATTTAAATCACGTTGAGAATCAGTACCAAAAATAAAATTTTTCATGAAATTTACTTTTTTTCGGTTGAAGTTTAAAAATAATTTTTTGTTTTACGGATGTACTTTAATCGTTATTACTAAAGCATTAAAATAATCAGTATAAACTAAAAATCAAATAATATGCGCGATTGCACCACATAATCACCAATTTGGAAAAAAACTAGACATTTCTTCAGTAAACACAAGTGTAGGTAATGTGGTATACCTTGGTTTTGCATGAAAAAAGGCCAGCACTAGACAAAATCTCATTACTATGTGAAACATTTGTACTCTACGAGAGTCTACCATGAATCACAAGGATGAAAAACAAAGGCTATGAGTTTTAACAACTTCTCCATGCAAAAATTAAATATTGACATGTGTAGACATTATTATATAATAAAAATTTAAGTTCCACTCAACGTATCCGTTAAAAATCTTAACTGACACAAATCTCGAGCTAATTCGCATTCATTAAAAACAATAAATTATATAAGATATCAATTGGAAGTGAAAATTATACTATACCACATTAACATCATGTGGTATACCACATTACCTGCACTTTTTTTAAAATCACTTTTTATGGAATTTCAAATATTTTCTCAAATATCTCTTAAATTGTTAGAATAATATTATTTTCAAATTGATACATGGAAAGACAACACATGTAGCATGTTAAGTGCAAAATTTCAATTTAATCGGATAAAAAATAAAAATTTTGCAATCTAAAAACAAATGGGTATACCACATTTGCATCACCTCCTATAGCTCAGGAGCTAAAAATCGACCATAACCGTTTTAAACCACTTACATAAAAAAGTATTTATTTTCCCCAGCCTAATAAATAGTTAATGCGAGCTCCTAATAAATATGTACTACCAACATTTTCCCGTTCATCGTTAAATCGTCGTAGCCGACCATTGTGCCGACACCCAGCTATCATCGTTCTCGATAACCGTTAAATCATCGTTGCCGATCGTCGACTCCAACTCCCGACAGTCAGGGTTACCGCTATGCGACTAAAGTTACAATTTGCAACCATTTTGATGTCCTGTAACTCTGTTTCAACTTTTTAATTTTGTGCGATGTTTCTTCCCTGTGTTTGGTAATTAGTATTTGCCTTTTTATGTGTAAATGCCAACTAATTTGGATTCGTCTATGTCATTATTGAGTTCCTAGGGTGTCTGACATATTCTCGAAACATATTTATTGACAAATTTACTTTTTTGTGCGCCTTTTTTCAAGTGAACGACGTTTTGTGCAACTTTTTTAAAATTCCCAGAGGTAACATTGTCGACAGCAATCATTCCTGATAACCGTTTAATCATCGTAGAAGCTCCAGAAAATCACCATTCCCGATCACCGTTAAATCGTCGCCGACGATCGTCGACAACCATAATCGCCGTAGCCACTTCCGATAGTCACCAGTATATTAAGTCACCCGAAATCAAATATTTTGTTTTTTGCATTTTAATATAAACCCACTAGTATTTAAATCAATAAACATCAAAAAAAAAAAAAAATATATATATATATATATATATATATATATGGGCAATATTGCCAATTTTTTAACATAGCCAAACTTTATTTTAGTGGAAGCTGTGTCTACTTTAATGTAAAAAAATGTGTAAAAACAGGTTGAGGCGAACCAGTTTTTTTATGTTCTCTATCGATTTGTGACTAAGCCACTCATTGCACGGCCTTCGTGTCAAAATAAAACTAGAAGCCAACAAAATGGGGACTACGCCCCCTATGTATCATTTTTCAAAATTTTAACTGCATCTACCTTTAAATGATGCTGACATTTTGAAGCTCGATTTTGAGTGTTTTTTGAATTTTAGTTCTAGCATTAATACGCGAACAGGAATTTCTAAAAATCGATTATACGATTATTGTAGTCGCGAATCTGCGTAATTTGATATGTATTTTGTGTATCTAGTATGCACAGCTTCAGAGTAATACTCATCCGAAGGTGCGAATTTTGTGCGATCAAATTTCTAAAAAACCTATTTTTCGGGCCAAATTTTTAGATCTGTCAACTGAATGATATGGGTACCCGCGATCAATAAGGTTTTTTCCGTTTCGGATGATATAAAATCTTCTTCGTGAAAATCCATCTACTAGAACGGCGGGAACTGGCCTTCCAAAAACACGAAATTTGGCAAAAAATGTTTTTGAAAATATCGCGGATTTATTTGCGTTTTCTGTGTATCATTTCCGCTTCAATAAATGACCCCATACGGATTTTGATCTTTTTCGAAAAGAGAACTTTAAAAACTTCAGCCGAAAGAGAGATGTACGCAAAAATAGATTGTGATGGCACATCCATGGTTCTTAATGGACCACATTGAAATCGGTATAGATCGATGTATTTTTATAGGGTGCACACCGAAATCGGATGCGCGGTAATGACATATGGAGTTTTCGGAAATTATTCGCGTTTTACGGTTTTTTGGGTACTTCAATGTAACGTGCGGCACATCTTAGCCGTCAAATGAAATTTTGCAATATATATATGGATAGGAAGATAAACTTCAGTACTTCCTGGAAACCGCATGCGCATCAAATGATTTTGAGAATTACGCGACTTAGACGCAATTTAAAATGTATATTTCATAATATTATTTTATTTTAAGATTTATTCCTATTTATAGAACCCTAAGATTTATCGGAAGGGTCTTGATATAATCCGCAAGGCGTATACTTATACACAAAAAGTGATTATTATTATATATGTCAATTTTTCAGCGAAATTCGGGTAAAATAGCAGAATAACCCCAACATTTTTTTCTGAAATTTCTTGTATACAATTAAAAAAATAAATGTAATGACATTATTTTTTCGAACCAAAAACAAATAATTTTCCTCAATATCTTGTTTTGTTGTCGCTGTGATTTACAAACAGCTACACGGACTTGTGTGATTTTGGTATCATTTGATTCACCATGGTGTTCAGATTATGTAGATATTTTTAAATTAATTTTTAGGTGTGTGTATGTCATTAATATAATGAAAATATTTACGTAATCTCCTATGTTTTCATTATTTTTCTCATATTTCGCGAAGATGTGCAACCTTTTCGCGATTTTTATAATATATTCATATTCTTATTTTACGGAGGAAGATATATATCAACGTTTTTGGTCAATATAATAAACGGCGTAATTTTAAGATTTTTTTCTTATGCCCAAATTTAAAACCACGATAACTTTTGCGCGCATCAACCAAAAATTTGATCGCGAACGGTTTCGGAGTCAGAACATTTTTCTCTATATATGTACCAAAAATCATTGATGTGCCACAAAAACAAAAAAGCTGATTTTTTGAAAATGGAATATTAAAAAATTGGCAATATTGCCCATATATATATATATTATTGGAATATTTCTCAGAAACAATATTCTGTGAGGAATTATTTTCATAATCACGGTGTCTTCACAATTTCAAAATGAATTTTGCATTTATGCTGTTGTTTTTTAAAAGTAAATAAATTACACAATTTAAAAGTGAAAAAACAACACGATATGATTATAAAGTACGATGATAAAGTTATTCGGGGCATACTGAATGATATTTGTCGGATCATTAAAGGACATTATTTTTCAACTGTTACAGAAAACGCGTTTTTTTTTTCTTTTGCGACTGGCGGGCACGATAACTCAAAAACTAATAATTCAATCGATTCCAAATTTGTACACGTTTCTCTGTGAGTGTTTAGCTATCGTATGAACTGGGATAAAGTAAATCGGTGAAGATCTTCCTTATTTTTTAACTTGGTTTGTGGTCAAAAATCGACGATTTTCCAAAAATATTTTTTCAAAAGTCCACCATTTTGTTAATTGTAATGCGAAGTCAATAATCCTAGTTCATACGAGAGCCAGTCATGTACTCCTTCTAAAACCGTTGCAATTTTCGGATTCCGATGTTCCAGTGAGGAGTTATCATGCCCGCCATCAAAAATAAGGACTTTTCTTTAATTACAAAAAAACAACAACAACACAATAACATTTTTTAAATCATCAAATATATATGTGTAAAGTTACAAACCTTAACAAGCATTGGTATTGATTTACAAGCCCATTGAAAATCTTAAAAAATTTAAATCGAGAATGGGGGGTTCCCTTAAAACAAAGCTAGTTTACAAAAAAACTATAGTTCTAAATTTCAAAATAATAGCTTCATTAAATCTGATATTACTAAAAAATCTTCTCCTGTAAAATTTCAAATTTGAGGGTTACGTTTTTTGAATGTGGCGAAAATGGCTCGATATATTCGATCATACCAGCACCAATCAGGATCTATGGTCTTCCAAAAAAGCTACGTCTGTCAGACATGCAAACGAAATTATTAGAGAGGAACATTTGTTACTCTAGGTTACAATAAATATCTTAGAAGCATCTTTTGGATGTACCCAAAGAGGTGTAGATTATCATATAGTCGATCCAATCTGACCCCTCTCCAATACCCCACTCCTAATTTATATTTAGCATTTTTCCTTCGAAAATATTTCATTTACAAAAGGGGTGTTTATGAATTTTGAGCAAGTGTTTCAGTAATTGACTTCCAAATCACGATTATTTAACATTTGTCAATAATCCCAAAATATATTTTCGTCCTTTCATAGATATTTACTTTCTGGCAGTAGTTTGAAACATAAAATAGCCAGACATGCCAAAAAGGACCTTTAGCACATCTGCAATGCGTATGCAAACAAGTCGTAAAGAAAATAACAGCTAAATCATTTGTTGCTGTTATGGAAATATATTGAAAGGGTATGCAACTTAGATTTTTAATTAAATTTTAAGCCTTATTGTAAATTTATTGTAACAACAGAAACGAAAATAGTAGTTCCGTTCCAGAACCTAAAAGAATCTTCTAATTTTACAAGTTTTTCATCTTATTACTCGAAAACCGTTCCTGAACCCACAAAACTGGTATAACATTGAATCAAATTTAAGAGAGCACAAAACAAAATGGCGTTCTCTTTGTAAACTTTTTACTCGAGAAATTTGGCCGAGTAAAAATGGTAAACAGGAATGCCTACTTCTGATTGGCTGTTATGTTGATTTTGAAATATTGCCATCTAATTTTGGCATATTTACTAGATTTGCGTTCCCGAACTTTTCAAATTATTTTGTACTCTGAGAGCGATTTTGAAATGTTTCCCTTTTACTAGCTTTACTAGTAAAAAAAAAAAAAACAAACCAATTATTAGTTCAAATAATTTAATTTATTAAAAGGAATGGAAAAAAATAAATTCAATAAATATTTATACCAACATTGCACTGAAAAATAATACTGAAAATATTCAATTCCATTTTAAGCTTCTTAGGCCCTTACTCTTCAATATTCATTCTCGTTCCCCTTTCGTTCTCTAAATCAATATTCATTCAGTATGTGTGTCTTTCTGTTTACATCCCATTTACTACGATTTGCTTCCCACAAAATAATTCAATTTTCTTGTGTATTCATATCCAGTTAAGCGCCTAAGAATATGCCACAATATTTCATGTTCAACCGATGAGCCTAACTGTGTCCTTTTCGTTTATCCAACAAAAGTGCAAATACTCAAATGGATCTGTACGTGTGTGTGTACGTACGTGTTTCTGTGTGAATAAATATTTGTATATGTGTGGTATGTGTGTATGTGTGTTATGTTTGAATTGTTTGTACTTACGCTATAGCATCAATCATATCCAAACCCATTTCAACGGCACAATGGGCATGATCCGGTCGGGGTTCTGGTAACCCCGAGACACAATAATAGCAATCACCCAATAATTTAATACGCAAACAATGATGTTCGGCTGCCAATCGATCAAATCTATAAGAAAAAGAAACAAAGAAAACGGTAGGCAAATGGTAAAGGCAAATAAACAAAAAAGATTGCAAATATGGCCATGGGAAAGAAAAACAAATTCAAAATAATTATCCTTTTCTTTTTAGCAGGTAGGATAACTGATATGTAAGGACTTTGTTGAAGATTTTTATAAATTTCAACATTATGGTGAGAAGAAAATCAACATTCAACACGTTAAATATGAACAAAACAAATGGTTGTGATAATTTAAAAGGATATATTTTAAGGGGAAAAAATATATTTTTTAAAGGACTATCACAGCAATAGGCATGGATTTTTAAAGAATGTATTTTAAAGGAGTATGAAAGCAATAGGCATGGATTTTTAAAGAATATATTTTAAAGGACTATCAAAGCAATAGGCATGGATTTTTAAAGAATGTATTTTAAAGGAGTATCAAAGCAATAGGCGTGGATTTTTAAAGAATGTATTTTAAAGGAGTATCAAAGCAATGGGCGTGGATTTTTAAAGAATGTATTTTAAAGGAGTATCAAAGCAATGGGCGTGGATTTTTAAAGAATGTATTTTAAAGGAGTATCAAAGCAATACGCGTGGATTTTTAAAGAATGTATTTTAAATGAGTATCAAAGCAATAGGCGTGGATTTTTAAAAAATGTATTTTAAATGAGTATCAAAGCAATATGCGTGGATTTTTAAAGAATGTATTTTAAAGGAGTATCAAAGCAATATTTTTTGAATATTTTTAAAAAAAAGCAATAGGCGTGGATTTTTAAACGAGTATCAAAGCAATAGGCGTGGATTTTTAAACGAGTATCAAAGCAATAGGCGTGGATTTTTAAACGAGTATCAAAGCAATAGGCGTGGATTTTTAAACGAGTATCAAAGCAATAGGCGTGGATTTTTAAAAAATGTATTTTAAATGAGTATCAAAGCAATATGCGTGGATTTTTAAAGAGTATTTTTAAATGGCTATGAAACAAGTATAGATTGTTTATATTTTAAAAGATTGCCAATTTCCATTTCCTTTAATTGCATTATTTGGAATTTTCCTTATCACAGAATGAGTAATATTAAATACAAGAATATGCCATTATAAAATATAATTTATTTATGTCAACAAATTTTACAAGGGATAATTTTTATTATCGTTGATGTGTTCTTTTCTTTTTTTTTCATTTAATATGGCGTGAACTTAATTATTCATTGACAGCTAATCAACCTTTGCTCCTGTGTGAAGACTTTACACTTACCTTGCAAAAAGTTCATTTAATAGACGCACCAACTCCTCCGCTGTACATTGATCCGAGAGACTTGTAAAACCGCAGATGTCAGCAAACAGAATACTGAAATTTTAATGAAATTAAAAAAAAAAATAAATAAAGACAATGAAAAAGGAGAGCAAGTAAAAAAACGCATTAATGTCTGTTTTTAAAAAGTTAAGAAGATTGAACAACAAAAACAACTTAAAATAAATGGAAAACCCCATTGTGACACTCCGTGCAACAGGTTCATCGGAACATAATCTGTTAACTTCGTTTGTAGCTTTTCCCCCTTTTTATTAGCTACTGAGAAGACCAACTGAACCAAGTAGACTAACATA